TCCTTATGTTATCTGAAGACTTGCATATTTCATCATCCTCTTTCCGGACAGTTAAGCGCTCAATTCTTTTCTCATATTTTCCCCCCTGTATAATGCGATCTACATAAATGTTAGGAACATGGATGTCTTCTGGGGCAAAGGACCCCACGTCCACAATTTCTTCAACCTCCACCACGGAGGTTCTGGCAGCTTTGCACATGGGCACGTTGAAGTTCCTGGCGCTGCCCCTGAAGATGACATTTCCTGCCCAGTCGGCCTTCCAGCCTTTCACCAAAGCAAAATCAGCGGTGATGGCATGCTCCAGCAGGTAGTGCTGCCCATGAAACTCCCTCACCTCCCTGGGCTGGCTGAGGATGGCGATGTGGCCGTCTGGTAAGTACCTGATGGGTGCCCCTCCCTCCTGGACCAAGGTCCCGTAGGCCGTGGGGGTGTAGAAGGCGGGCACACCGGCGCCCCCCGCGCGGATGCGCTCAGCCAGGGTGCCCTGGGGCGTGATCTCCAGCTCCAGCTCGCCTGCCAGGTACTGGTGCTCACAGAGCGAGTTCTCCCCCAGGTAGGAGCAGATGATGCGGGTGATCTGCTTGGTCCCCAGTAAAAGGCCGAGACCGAAGTTCTCTACCCCCACGTTGCTGCTGACCACGGTCAAGTCCTTCACGCGGGTCTTCAGCAGCGCCCCTATCAGGTTCTCCGGGATCCCGCAGAGCCCGAAGCCCCCGATCATGATCCTTGAGCCGTCAGTGATGTCTCTCACGGCCTTCACTGGGTCCGTGTAGAACCTGGCGCGCGCGCGGGCGCTGCAGGCAAAGCCGCACGCGCCACCTTTGGCCAACGCGCGCCCCGAGCGGCCGGCGGAGACCCGCCGCCTGAGCACAGACGCCAGGATCCGCAGAGCCGCCATCGTCCGCTCCGCTCCGGCTCGGGCTCCGGGCCCAGCGGGGACAGGCGGGGACAGGAGGCAACCGTGCGTCCCCGCCCGCACGTCACAGAGCAGGGGACGCCCAGCCGTGAAGCTCCCGCCCGGCTGGTTTCCGCCGCTCCGCTCGGTCTCCGCGCTCCGAGGGCCCGAGGGGCCGAGCTTCCCGGGCCGCGGGACGGGAGGCGGGACCGCCTGGATCGTCTGGATCCAGGTCTGGTCTGGAGGTAGCTCGGAGACCGCGAGGCGACGTCCCTCCCGGGAAGCCTGGGCGTCGGCTTCCTGCCCTCGCCATCGTCACCCTTCCTCCCAGGAGCGCTACTCCCGTCGCCCCCCACTCCCCCCCACCCCAAATCCACCTCTGGGTCACGGGCTCCAACACCTGTGTTCCCAGCACTCCTGGTCCTGGAACATTTCCACGGATGTCTAGTCAGACCTCAACGACACCGCCGCCGAAAGAGACCTCTTGCCTTCTTGCCTCAAACCTGCTCCTCCTCTGTTTTTCCCCAACTCGGGCAAGAACAACACCAAACCTGTTAAAAAGAGCCACTGGCTCAGTCCTGTCACCTGCGTCTTCTCCAAGCACCCTCCTCCGTTCACGCTGGAGGAGCTCCCCCACCCCCAGCTCCCACCTCGACCCTGTGAGGCTCTGGGGCCTCTCTGATTTCACTTTCATCCCCCAGAGTCTACTCTCCCGACTGAAGTCAGGGGGTCTTTATTTATACCTAAGACAAATGAACGTTTCATTTTACCATAGTTGAGATTCATAGACAATACACCAAGATAGTACAGAGTTCTCATACACTCAGACCAGGTTTCCCCTGGGAAGTGTTAACATTTAAACAACTATAGTACCTTTGTTACCCACTCAATGGACATGAATTTGAGCAAACTCTGGAGAGAGTAGAGGACAGAGATCTGTGGGCTTCAGTCCATGGGGTTGCAAAGAGTCAGACACGACTTAGTGACTGAACGATGTTTGTTACAACTAATGAACCAGTACTGGTGTCTTATTATTTACTAAACACCATGACTGACCCGAGTTCACTAGTTTCTCTAGTGTCTTTTTCCAGGATCCCACCCAGGGTCCTACATAGCACTTAGTCATCACAACTCCTTATGCGCCTATGGGCTGTGAATTTCTCAGATTTCCTGTGGTTTTTGATGACCTTGACAGTTTTTGTATTTGTATTCTGTGGCAAGTTCTTCAGTTTCAAGTTGTCTGGTGTTTTTCTCATGGTGAGACTGGGGTTCTGGGTTTCAGGGATAAAGACCACGGAGGTAAAGGGTTCTCATCTTGTCTGGGAGCTACGTGAGGTGTTCATGGGAGCCCGAGCGCCTGGCTGAGAGGGTGCTGCTGAGTTTTCTGAGGTTCCCCCGTAAATTAAATTTACTGCCTCAGCCTGTGCATACTTTGGAAGCAGGTCACTAAGTGTAGCCCACACTGAAGGAGAGGGAGATGCTACAACCGCCGTGTGGGGGAGCATCTCAGAGGGTTGTTTTATAAAAAGCCGAATCAGATCCTGCCATCCTCCATTGCTCTTACATAAAATAATACTGATTTCATACTTCATATTTTGACCACTTCTTTCCACCTCCTCATAATCGCTCCCTGGCCCCCCATGCCCCAGCCATGGCGGCCCCTTATTGCACTTCAGACACACCAACCGTGGGCCCACCTTCAGGTTTTCTAGTTGTACTGCGGGATAAAAGAGGCTCTCCCTCAAACATGTGCTGAATGAATGAATGAAGGCATGAATCCTTATTTTACAGATGAGGAAACTGAGGCCTGGAAAGGCAAGCAACCTGCCCTTCTGTTGTCCCACACTGAGGAACCCTCACCCTCTACCCACTAGGTCCCCTCGCCTGAGAAAGGCCAGGCCTCCGGGGCCAAGTGAGGGCGCTCTAGCTGTGTCTGATGCCAGCAGCTCCCTTGGAGGAGACCCCAGGGGGAGGTTTGGTGCTGACCCCAGTCTTACCATCATCTGTTTCCACATAGAGGCGGAGTCCCAGGTCCTTGTTACGGTTCAAGAGCCAGCGGTCACTGGCTGCTGTCACGTCCAACACCAGCCAGCCCTCGTCCCCAGATCGGAGCGTCTGAAGATCCAAAAAGAACAAGTCAGACTCCCTGTGGACACGAANACAGCCCTGATCTGCAGGATGAAATAGGTCCAGGCTGTTAGCTGTTCCCGGGAGTGACCCTGAGAATGAAAAGGGGTCCCCCAGCCATGCCCTGTGCTGGACCCCTCTCAAAGCATCCTTGAATGTATCTGCCCCCAAGGCACAGAGGGGGCTGACAGGTGGGTCCCTGGGAACCTGTCTGCAGGCCTGACACTGACTCACGTTGGATCCAGGACTGAGGGAACCACCAGGAACCGGCCAGCCCCACGGACACCAAGCTCCGCGGTCTCCGCATCCTTTGCTGACCTGGGGGCCCACATGTGCTGGGTCCAGAGAGCCCTGTTCCCCTGGACTGACCTCAGCTCCCAGCTTCTGTGCTGTGGGTTTGTGAAAGCAATGCCCACCCAACCCCCACCCCATAGTTCCCGCACAGGAAACTGCCTGCCCCAGCTGTTCCAGGCAAGCACTAGCGGTGGGACATTTTTAGGAAAATGATTTTCATCAGAAATGGATAAAACTTCTGAGATGAGGCAATAAACTAAATATTACTGTCACTAGCCAAAGGAGAGCCCTCCCCCGCCCCCCACCCTGCCCCGCTTTCTTTGCTGGAACCTGTGCATGTATGGCTTTTCAGCAGTTGCTTCTGTGGATTAGGGAAGATGGTTCTCAGATGCCGGTGTTAAGGAGCAGCATTTATTGAGACTTGCATGTTCCCTATGGTAGTTCCCGGGCTGGCTGCCCCTGCTCTAGCCACTAAAACAGCACTGAGGGGCGGAGATGCTCTGATCTCCAACTGGGGCTTCTGATCTTAGCCCTGACTCTGTCAGCAACCAGGTACTTCCTGTGGTTGGCCTCAGCCTGCGCGCCTGGGAAGTGGGGGGAGATCCTAGGGTCCTTTCCACACAGGGCTGTGAGAGGGCTTTGTAAAGTGCAGGGATCACGGGATAGGAGCGAAGGCCATTCCTTAGGAGGTGAGAGGGGGGTTAACCGCTAATTTCCTCACCTAACAGACATAACAAGTAAGGACATCTTGCCAGCACCAATGGGGGTTTCATGTGTGACTCAAGAGCCATAGAAGATGAAAGATAGGCATTCAGCTTTATTCTTCTAAATAAATTATGGGATGAAGGATTATATCATAAAAATATATCAGTGCAACTGAAAGGCATTTGGATAGCTTCAGAGGGCCTCCTTTCCACCTGCCTGACCTTTATGAAGACACTTGATCCTCTGGGTCTCAGAATCCACATCTACAAATGACCATTTGATATAGAAATGAAATGAAAGTGTCCAAAGCCCTGTCTGCTCCTGTGGCCACAGTTGGTTGTGGCCCAGCACATGCTTCTATCCGATTATTCAGGAGCATTTCCTTATCAGTGCACACTCATGCCCAGCCTCCACTTTCCCCTCTAACCAAGGTCTGGAATCTCCCAAAGATGCCCAGGCCAGGAGAGGCAGTCCCCCTACCACGCCAGTAGGGCCGTCCACTGCGTTCTGGCTCGGGCATAAAGCAACACCTGGCTTCTTCTGTATGAATGTGCTGACGATTCCAGAACATCAGATCTCAAGGAAGAAAGATCACTGCACACAGTCTTCTCCCACTTTCATGCACGTGTGGAGACGGAACCCAGGAGTTCTGGCTGTCCTCTGGGCTCTTTCCACTGCAGTGGCCCTCCACCATCCAGTGCTGCAAAAACAGCATAACCTCCCCACCTCGGAGTTGACCTGGCCCTGCTTCCCACCCTGCTGCAGCTGTGGGATGCTCTGTAGAAGGAATTCAGGGGAAAGGCCAAGGTCTGTACAATGTGATTTCTTGGGTTTTCCCGGTAAAATTTGCTGCTGGTTGTGGAGTTGGGAAGTTCATTCCCGGGTCTCCTAGCAGATTCAGACAGGCAGCGAGGGGGACAGGTGGGGGTGCTGCAGGGCAGGAGGTGGTCCCTGCTTGACCTATGTTCTGGCTCCTGGCCATCTGAGATAAGTCCTGCCAGGAATCCTGTTTCTGTGAATGTCCTGGAGGGGACTGCTGATGTTTGAAGCAAGGTTTCTGGGTAGTAAATTATTCTTTCCATCTGCAGAATCTGGGGTAGGAATTCCTAATCTTGCATGGGGGTGAGTGTCCCATAATTTTGCCTTTGGGCACGTGGGAGAAGACCCCTGCCTATGCTGTCTTCTCACGCTCTGGAGGTTTTCTAAGAACACTCATTTTCCATCATTTTTCCCTGGGCATATCTGGGAACATTAATTAATTCATTTATGCAACACATTTGAAAGCTGTGCTTATTGTATGCAAGTCCATACTTTGGCACTGGGGAAACTGCAGTCAAGGAGACAGGCCAGCCCCTGTGCCCGTTGAGTTTACGCGCAGTGGGGAAGTCAGGTAGAAGACAGACAATCATTGTAAGCGAGGAGTCCTGTGAAGGACAGGAAGAGGGGGTGAAAAGAGGGCATGTGGGGTCACTTTATGCTTCTAACTTTTATTTTGTAGTGATTTTTGATTTTGAGATTAAGAGAAAAATTGTTGCAAGAACAGTAAGAGACTTTCCATATTTCTTACCCAACTTTCCCTAATGATGACATTTTACATAACCAAACCACAGTACAGTGTTCAAAACCAGGAAACTGATATTGGTACAATACTATTAAGTACATTATAGACCTTTCTAGAATTTTGCCAGTTTTCCCACGTATGTCCTTTTTCTGTTCCAGGATTCCATCCCGGATACCTCATCACATTTCCTTGTTAGGGCTCCCTGATCTGCTTTGACCTGTAACAAGTGCTAAGCCATTCTTTGTCTTTCATGCCCTTGCCATCATGAAGGTCATCGGTCAGGTATGTGGTAGACTGTCCCTCAGTTTGGGTTTATCTGATGTGTTCTTGCATTCTCATTATTAAATTGAAGTTACAGATTTTGGAGATGAACACCATGGATATAATGTCCCCTTCTAAGCACATCAATAGAATGACATAATGTCAACATGTATTATTACTAGTGATTACAAATTCTTTGATTAATGGTATCTGCCAGGTATCTTCACTGTAATGTCATTATTTTTCTTTTGGAAATGATAAATATCTTGAGGGAGAAACACTGAGATTTGTGCTTATATCCTGTTTTTCCTCACACTTTTGCCTGCTAATTTTAGTACCCACAAGTGGCTCTTGCCTGTAGCAATTATTACTGTATTATCTGCAATAGTGATTTTCTGTTTCCTTCTTTCCCTCTACATTTCTTAATTGGAATTCCTTTGAAAAGAAGACTTTTCCTTCCTCCCATAATTATCCATTTATTTATTTCTATCATTATGGGTTCATGCACATTTAATTTACTCTATGGGTTAGCAACTGAACCATAACAACAAATCCTAACCCATGCATAAACATATGTCTGTATTTATTTCTATTTTTCTGGATATATCTATTTTAAAAATTGGAGTTATAGTTCTGGTTCAGTGTGGGGTTACTTTAGATGTGGTATTTTGGAGAAATCTTTCAATTAAGACATTCTAAGATGAGACCAAGCACTTGTGTTGCTGGCAGGCAGGCAAAATGGCATAATCCCCATGGAGGGGAATCTGGCAACATTTAGCAAAATGATACATGTTTTGACTTAGACATCTCACTTCTTAAAAATTGTCCCAAAGGTACGATACAAAAGATGTACATACAAGACTGTTACAGCCCAATTTTGTAATGTGTTACAGAAAAACACTGGAAGCAATCCAAATGTTTATCAGTAGGAGATGGAATAACCGAACCATGGTACCTCTTCATGATGGGGTGCTAAAGAGCTGTAAATTAGAACAAAGAGATCATCTATATTCTGCAAGAAAGTGATCTCCAGAGGATAGTTCTATTTTAAAAAGAAATAAGGGGAACAGTAAAGATAAGACGCCTTTTATCTAAGAACGTGTCAAAATACAAATATTAGGGGCTGCCCTGGTGGCACAGAGGTTAAGAAGCTGCCTGCCAAAGCAGGAGACAGGGTGAGACCCCTGATCTGGGAAGACCCCAATCCCACAGGCTGCGGAGCAACTTAGCCCGCGTGCCCTAACTATTGAGCCTGTGCCCTAGGGCCCAGGAGCCGCAGCCACTGAGCCCACGTACCACAACTGCTGAAGCCCGTGTGCCCTAGAGCCCATGCTCCGCAACAAGAGAAGCCAGCGGCAATCAGAGGCTTGCAAACCGCAACTAGTGAGTGGCCCACACTCACTTAAACTAGAGAAAAGCCCATGCAGCAATGAAGACCCAGGGCAACCAAAAATAAATGAATAAATACATTAAAAAATAAAATTTTATAAAAATGCATACATGTCATATGTATATATATATATATGCAATTTTATTCTTTAAATAGAGAGATAAACTACAAACTAGTAAGTTTATTAAAAATAGTGGGAGTGGGTGAAATAGACGAAGGGGACTAAGAGGTACAATCTGCAGTTATAATAAATAAATCATGGGGTATAATATATAGCATAAAGAATATGTTCAGTAATTTTATAATAAATTTGTATGCAAACAAAAGGTTATTAGACTTATGGTGATCACGTATGTATGCAAATGTCAAATTTCTAGGTAGCATACTTGAAACTAACACACTATTGTATGTCAACTATATTTCAATTAAGAAAAAATAAGCTGTTGGACTTCCCTGGTAGTCCAATGGGAAAGAATTCGCTTGCCAGTGCAGAGGACATGGGTTTGATCCCTGTCCAGGAAGATTCCACATCCTGAAGCACAACTAAGCCTGTGCTCCACAAGAGAAGTCACCGCAATGTGAAGTCCTGGCACTGCAGCTAGAGAGTTGCCCCTGCTGGCTGCAACTAGAGAAAGCTGGCCAGCAGCAGTGAAGACCCAGCAGAATCAAAATTAAATAAATTAATTCATTTAAAAAAATGTAGTTACCTTTTGTGGGAGGAAGAGAACAGAGACATAATGTACGAGGCAGGCATGGAAGCTAGGTCTCTCCAAATGTCTCTTGCTTTGTAAATTTTATAACTATTTCACATAAGTATAAAACAAAAATAATTCAAAATATAAAACCAAAAAGTAATACCAAACACTAAAATGCAAAATAATAAACAAATGGTGGGTGTATTGAGTTGGTGGCTTAACCACACAGTGAGGAATTATTTCAAGTAATTTTCAAACAGAGTAACTTGACTGTATATCTCTAGTAGAATACCTTAAGGACAAATTTAAAATAAATCTTAATTTTTCAGTAAGCACATTGCTATGACGATGATGTTATTCTATACCTATTATAGAGCTGGACATGAATTAGTGACTAAACAACAGCAACAATCATATTAATGTTGTTAGGACCAACCAAATTATTCAGTGCAAGAGAAAATAGAAAAATAAAACATGAAAAAAGCATTTAAGTAAAAGTCTATTATCCTAAGCTTGAATTGGAAATATTAGTTTGAGGGATAGACTGAGAGCTGGAGACTGACATGTACATGCTACTATATTTAAAATAGATAACCAACAATGACCAACCCAGCCAACTCTGCTTAATATTCTGTAATAACCTAAAGGGGAAACGAACTTGAAAAAGACACATGTATATATATAACTAAATCAGGTTTCTGTACAGCAGAAATTAAAACATCATAAATCAATTATACTTTGATAAATTTTTTAAAAAAGAAAATGCAATCTTCTGCCCTGTCTGAATCTTCTTCCTGCCCTCAAGCCCTTCCCCAGCCCCTCAGGGCCCACGGGAAGGTCTTAAGCTTGGCTCTGCTTCGAGGCCTCTCAAGCTGGCCCGGCTCATCCTCATGGTCTCCTGGGCCTCCTTGAAGAGGAGACCCCCCCTTGAAGCCCTCTCTGGGGGGTTGCCCCATCCCACCAAGCATGAAGGCCATTTTCTTCTCGGTCCAGCTGTAACAGCCCCCTTGCCCTCCCCTGACCCCACACACCAGCCTGCCAGTCTCTCCCTCTCCCCGTCCCGGGGTCCCCATCCCTGGCTCATCTGTCCTCTGGACGGTGACCAGTTTGAGGACAGAGACTGAACAACTGGGTGGAAACGGGAGGCCTCTGAGGTCTGCTCCTCCAGCCCCTCGTGTCCCCGGGGCCCAGAGAGGGGATGTCTGGCCCCTCTTCCCAAGGGCTCCTGGTTCCCAGGACAGCGACTCAGTGTCCAGCGTGGAGCCCCTGAACTGGGGCGTCCTGCTGGTCTGGGAGTGGCTTCCAGGTCACCTCGGGCCTCCATCTGAAGCCACCCATGTTCTCAATTCTCTGCGGGACTCGCCTCTGTTCACAGTCCGACAAGGAGGACAGGCTCCCTCAGGGCCCCGGAGGCGAACGGGCCGGGCCTGTCTGGCTGGTCCCACCGGTAAGGAGGCCAAGGGGCCCCTCAGACCTAAGACAAGACCCAGGTCCCGGGGGAGCTGCGGACTCCATCACCTCCCGGTTCTGCCTCCTGCAGGGCTCCCGCCCACCCAGGAATCTCAGCACCACCGAGAGCAGGCCCCCGCTTCACTCTGGGGCATTTTTAGTCAGCTCTCGTTGCTGACTTTTTCAGGACCTGCTTCCATAAATGGCTCCATGCTCATAATTACCATCCAGACCTCAGCCGGCTTCAGAGCCCAAATTAAAAGGGGCACCCGCCCGCCGCACCACATCAAGCCCGTCACGGCCAAAAATAGATCCCAGGAGATGTGAGCAAGGAGGATGCGGCTCCTCCAGGTCAACTAGGGAAAGACCTCAACTGTGGGGCTTTCCAGAAGGACGTGGTCATGGTGACACACGCCCTTGGTCCTGCGGGGAGCGCGTGCCCGTGAGGACTGGCCGTGTGCTCCCTCCCTGAGCCTGCCTCACCCCGGGGTGGGGGGGCATCAGCGGCCAGGGAGGGCAGGGGGCACATTCTTTGGTGGGAGCTGGAAAGGCCTTTGCAGCCACCTGCATAGATGAGGAAACTGAGGCCCAGAGGGGCAGAGGATCACCGGGCGTCAGGTGTCAGGTTAGGGGCCCTTCACGTGGAATTGCAGACTTGGAGCCCATGTGATATAAGTGGCCCCAGATTTGCTCTGGTGGTGATACTGGGATGGGGGGGTCACCTGTTTGCAAGGTTCTTCCATCAACAGGTGCCTGAGAGCGACCTCCTGAGGCCACGGTCCTCCAGGCAGGGCCCTGCGGGGACTCGGGTCCCAGGGGAGGGGAGGGTGATCCGCACAGATGGGGAGGCTGGCCCTGCTCTGTGTTCCTTCTCCTGGCTCTTGGTGCTCCCTGACCCCTGCTGCTGCTTCCCCTCAGCGTCACCAGTCTGCCCTGAGAGCTGGCCTCGGGGCGGGGCTGGGGGGGGGGGG